GGAGGCCAGGGTGTTTCTCCAGCGTCCCTTTTTCCTCTGGGGCCTGCCCCACCGGAGGCAGCAAAGATGGGGATTTTGGAGCACACAATTTACATATGCCCGTAATTGTCACCTCTTCTCCTTCCACTAGACTTCACAGCACCTCTCTCCTGTGCAGGAAGCTGAGTTCCCCGCATTTCCATTTAGACAGTGACACCGGATGAGAGTGCTTCTCGTTCGTACTTCATTAGAGTCCAGTTCCTTCTGGTCTTCCAGTTTTCCACCTTTTCCCTTGTGACGCTCATGCCGCATACTGTGTTCAAGTCTGGGTCGAAGTGCAGTCCAATGAACAAAACTAAGCCCGCAGTTCTTTTTGGTGCCACTGTGTGCTGACAGATGCTTAGTTAAAAAAACAAACAATGCATTTTATTTTCCTTGGAGTTCTAGACAGATCTCTTTTCTTAACTGCCTAGGTCCCGCCATTGACTTGGAAAAAGTAAAGTCAGAATGTCTCGAGCCCGAGCCGGAGTTACGGAGCACTTTCAGTGAGGAAGCAAATACGTCGTCCTATTACCCTGCTCCTGCACCTGTCATGGACAAGTATATCCTAGACAATGGCAAGGTAGTGTTTTCAGCTCAATATCCGTTCCCTGCAAGTGTTTCTTAGTCAGAGTCCAGATGGAGAGTGTGGTGGAAGCCCCTGGTCTGCCTTCTGGCTTAGCCCGGTGCGACCATTTCTGGAATTCATGTGTGATGTGACCAGTGTAGCTTTGCGTGAACTTTTTCTTTTTCTCTCCCTTCCTCCATGAAAAGAAAAATAGCAAAGAAAAGAAAAGGGCCAAAACAACTATAAAAACAAAACGACATTTTACAAAGCTCATTAGTGAGACAATTTTTTTTTTTAATGCCATGGCAGGTTGATGAGACTTATCTTACCCGCCTATGAATCCAGATGCATTCAGTATCTTAGGTGAACTTGAAATGAAATATTCGAAATTCAGATATCACTCGAGTTTATATTCATTTGCCATTTTCCAAGTATCTGCGTCCCAAGCCTTGTGTTAGGTACCAGGGATCTTCCGTGGAATGAAACATGCTTCCTCTCCCTCAGCCACTTGTAATTGTTTATTGTGCAGTGGTTTGCTCAGTCCTAGGATGTTTCTGGCCCTCGGAAACCATCATTGAAAGGGAATGTAAGTGCTATTAGAAATTACGGACACCGAGATGCCAAATACTGAGATAACCTTAGAAATCTTAAAGTCGCTTGTTGACCCGGCAGCAAAAGCAGGACAGGAAACTGTTCTAACATCCAGTCGGAAGATGGGTATCAGAGCCTGTATTAGTCTGGGT